GAGGTTATTGTCTTAGGTCCCAAGATTCATTCATTTTGTCTATACCAAACATTTGCACTGAATTTGGAAAAAGAGCATTCAAATTTGCAGCTAAGGTATCACTAAGGTATTCATTTTTATTGACACTGAAGTTTATCATTTTTGGTTGCGTCTGTGTTTTATTTCTATTGCCTGTCTGGTGTATGAAGTGTATGATTGTACTGCTCTCTTTTGTGGCCAGGACATTCTTGTAAACGAGATTTCTATTCTTTTCCTGGTCAAATAAAGGTTAAATTAAAAAAGCAGCAACAACAACAACATGCTAGTGTGATAGTGAGCATAGAGTTTTTTTTATCATCTTTGTTGAGATTACATTACTTTATCTTTTAGGTATCTTTAAGAAGTTTGAATGATGGAAACTTATTTAAAGTAGTTAGTTTGCCACTGTACAGTAAAACAAATACAGCTGATGATATATGTCTTATAGATATCATATACAGCTAAGACTGTTACTACTACAAATACTAGCACACAAACTAGGCTTGTAGAACATGTTATCAAGCAAGATTCTGTTCTCTGTCTCTCTCAGACTCAGGAGAAGGAGCGAGAGGAGCGAGTGTGGAGGGAGCGACTGCAGCGTTGTCAGAGGCAACTGAAGGCCAAAGAGGGAGAGATGAGTCGACAGGCCCAGTATTTTGAAAACTTTAAAACCCAACTCCAACACAAGCTCAGCCTGGCCTGGGAGAGAGAGCAGAGCCTGCAGAATCGCATCTACACTTTAGAAAAGCAGCTACTTGACATGACTGTGAGTGCCGCCACTGGTATGACAACTATCAGAGCAGTCCGAATCACTGGTGGTACTGTGCAGTGCTTGGAAGAACAAGACAGGCTATCTTCCATGAGGGGAGAGGGCGAAGGAGAAGAGGAGACCAAGGAAGAGAGGCGAAAGAAATGGCAGCCAAGTGTTGGAACTGAGAGAGAAGAAAGGCGAAAGGGCGATGAGGGAAAAGCAGAGAACAGCATAGGAGGAGGAAGAAACAGTGACACAAAACAGTCCTCAAATGAGGCAAGGTTACAAGGATTCATTGTCAGCCTGCAGGAGGATCTCAGAGTACTGCTGGAGAGAGAGGAGGAGAGGATGACTGAGAGGAAGAGACTAATGGAGCAGCTCCAGGAGGCCCAGGAGAGCAACCACTTCCTCAGCTGCACCGTGGATGAGATGAAGTCAGAGATCCATCAGCTGAAACTATCTGAGAACTCGCTATTGGAGGAGCTTGAACACCTGAGAGAGGAGAACCTAAGACTGCAGCAGGTCCTCAGGGATTCGGCTAACCACATACCAAGCCAATCATCCGCATGCCTGAATCCTGAGACCAGCACACCCAACTCCAGTCTGGCTGTTAATTCTGGGACTGCCAACATTTTCTCATATTCCACTGCCACGGGACAGCCATCAGTGGCTTGCTCAGGAGAGGTTTGTAGGATCCAATTAATATTCCATCCATCCATCCATTTGCTTCCGCTT